ATCTGTTTGCCTTAACCCACTGGAGGAGGAAATGGAAAACCACTCCAGTACCTTTGCCAAGAAATCCCCAAATACAGTCACGAAGAATCAGAGACAACTGAAAAACAACTGCACAGGAGTTCCTCACGACAAACCTGTAATGTACATAGTTTGGGTATTGTTAGCTCGTTTTACCAATGAAGTAAAGAAGTCTTGTCCAGGGTCACAGAGTTAATAGCAAATCTGGGACTCAAACTCGGGTCTTCTGACTCCAAGACCAATACTCTTTTCACTCTACCACATTGCCTCTGAATCCATATTACACATCACAATCTAATCTTCCCAAAATACCATTTGATAAGCCAATTCCTCGCTCAAAAACCTTTAATGACTTCCTATGGCCTAGCAGAGGTTCCCAAACTTATTTGGCCTATGCCCCATTTAAAAAAATTACTCAGCACCCCCCTGGAAATTTACTTTCTTTAAGCCTTTAACAGTTGCTGTTTTTTTTTAAATTTGCATCATTTCAAAAAATATATGATTTTTTAAATGACACATCTTAAATTTAATAATTTATTGTAAGTTTCTAGGTTTTTCCAAGCATTGAAATTTTGATGATGCAATATTGTATCATGTGACTGTATAGTATCATATTGTAAGCAAGTCATTACATGCACATACTCCTGCTAATGCATGCTAGACTTTCCCACAATGCGCAACACACTTGGCTGCCATCACTTGTTTGTTAAGACCTGTCGGCAGATTTGACCACTGATCAGTTATAACTCGCATTTCGTGCATTTATTTGGGAAACAATGTAATCACTCCAATTTTAACTCTGCTACACAACAGATAAAGCACATATGAATAGTTTTTCAAAATTTTCTTTTCTTCTTTCCTTATGCTTCCATCGTCCCCTTATTTTTATTAAAGGCCCCCTAGTTGTACCCAAGGCTACTACCACCACCCCCTCATCATTCTAGCACCCACCAAGGGGTAGTATTACCTGCTTTGGGAACCTATCCAAAGCAAGGGTTTTTAATGTAGGATCAAACTCAGAGGGTCCATGAATTTAGATGGGGAAAAACAAAATACATCTTTATTTTTAATTACCTCTAACTATAATTTAGCATTTCCTTTAATTATTTAAAGATATTATTTTGAGTCCATAGGTTTCACCAGACTTATTAAAAGGGTCCATTACACAAAAAGCTCTCCCTGGCCTGGAGGACAAAGTCAAATATCTTACTGGCATTCAAATTTAGCCCCACCTTATCTTTGCAATCTTATCTCCTACTTCCCACTTTCCAAAACACTTTCTTTGTTTTGTCCAAACCAGTTTACCCCAGCCTTTGCATCCTCACTTCTAGGTTTTTCTTCACACTCTCATTCCAATTTCCACTTTCTGTCTTCCTTTGTATCTACCTGAATCCAAATCCTTCAGGGCTCCTGCCATTAAGTTTTCCCTGACTAGCTTTCTCTGCCCCAAGCCCTCCAAACTCCTAAGGCATTTATTATCTGTACCAATTATCTGACAGTCACTCAGGTGTCAATTGACTTGTGCCACTGTACAAGCTAGACAGTGTATAGAAAGATACAGGGCCAGATTTGGAGTCAAGAAGACCTGAGTTTGAATCCTGCCTCAGACGTCACTAGCTGTGTGATCCTGGCCAAGTCACTTAACCCTGTTTGTCTCAGTTACCTCATCTGTAAAATGAGCTGGAGAAGGAAATGGCAAAACACTCCAGTATCTTTGCCATGAAAATCCCAAATGTTTGACTCATGAGGAGTCAACAATTTTTTTAAATTATGCATTATTTGCCACCACTGTCCTTGAAAACCCTTTAGGTCTAGCCAGACAGGTCAATTCACTATCCCCTACCCTGTGCATTCCTATTCCTATGCCTCTCCTAATGCAGATTCCTCTGTCTCGGTATTCAGGTCCCTCAGAGGTGTGCTAGTAAATGTTTAACAAATGGTTCGCATGTATGTGTGTATGTATATAAACATTAAATACATATATAATGTATAACAAATATATACACATTGTATGTAGAGACGTATATAGATATACATATATATATGTACACATGGCATACTTGAATCTCATTATTAACGTTTTCTCCATCTTCTCAAGTCTAGATAATCAATGAAACAATAAATCAAGCCTCGATTTACAGTGTTTGCAGATTTCCAAGGCATAAATTTAACAACTTTAACAGCTCAGTTAACAACTCAGTTCCGAGTCAGTAAAAGTTGGCTCTTGGACATCACAGCTCTGTACTTTTCTAAATCCTAGCATCAGGGACAAGCTCAAATATTCCCAAATCTAGTAGGCCTTTCCTGACCACTCCAGCCTAGTGCTTCATCCTACACTCCTATAGCACTCAGTGTCTATAGTTACCATTCATTGATACTTATCATAGATTGCCTGGTATTGTGACTTATCTTCTTATGAACACAGATCACTTCCCTCTAATTACATTGTGAGTTCCTTGAGGGACAGTGTCCTGCACTTCCTTGAATATGACACAATGCTTTCTTTGCACATAATAGGCAGTCAATAAATATTTGCTAATTGATTGTGCCAAAATGCTCTCCCACTGAGCATTTCCCTGGGGACAGGATGGGATAAAAGAATAAATCCATTAGGAAGAAATGAAGGAAGGAAACTATAACCAGGTATGAAAATAAAAATGAGCCTGTAGACTTCTTATACATGGAAGGGAGCTCAGAGATGATCTAATTCAACAGGCTCATTTTACAGGTGAGGAAATTAAGGTTCAGAGAGAGACAGAAAATTTTCCCAAAGTCACACAACTATTAAGTGACAGACCCAGCCACATTCCAGACAAATATCATAGTTTAAGAAGCCCTGTTCTAGATAGTACAGACAGATGTTAAATTCAAACCAAGAGAAGCAAAGGGATGTCTCTACGGGTTGAGTCATTTCAGTCATGTCTGACATTCCATGATTTATCTGGGGTTTTCTTGGCAAAGATACTGGAATGATTTGCCATTTAATTCTGTAGCTCATTTTACAGATGAAGAAACTGAGGAAGACAAATTAAGTGACTTGCTCGGAGTCATACACCTGTGTGTCTGGGGTCAGATTTGAACTCATAAAGATGAATCTTTCTGATTCTAAGACCAGTGCAGTATCCACTGGACTACCTTTTAGTTTGAGAGGTCTTTAGCTATTGCATTAGCCAAGGAGCTGAGAGTAGAAACCAAGGGTCTTAGCATTTTTTCCTGCTTTTACCTCTCATGTCATGAGAGTTTATCAGCCCTGCCAAGAAACTCTGAATACATGACATATGATATAATGAATTTGGAGTTTGAAGGCCTGGGCTCAAATCGCAGGTCTGCTATTCTTACTACCTTGAGCCACCTTCAGCCAGTCATAACCATTCTGGGCTTCAAGTCCAACAGTGTGCTGGAGCCAGCTTGTACAGGCTCTCAAAAGCACGACTGTTCAATTTTCAGTGTGAACATTTACACCTTAGAAATAAGCAAAGGCTACAAAATCAGGGCTTGACTTACTATTTTGTTGATTGTCTAAATTTAAGAAAGTGATAGAGAGAATTTAATAATACACATTAAACTTAAAACTGTCAGTGCTTATATTTTTTGTTTTATCCTGAAGACACCTCTATAATTAAGTCCCTCACCTATAAAACAAAGAAAATAAATAGAAAACTGAATTGGACTATATCAGTAGCTCTTAAAAAGTGTGGTCTGGGGCAGGTAGGTGGCAGAAGGACCTGAGTTCAAATCCAGCCTCACATACCTTATTAGCTGTGTGACCCCAGGCAAGTCACTTAATCCCAACTGCCAAAAAGAAAAAAAAAGGAAAAAAAAGCATGGTCCAAGGCCCCTCTGGGATTCTCTGAAACCCATTTCAAAGTGTCAGTAAGATCAAAACTAATTTCATGATAGTAGTAAGATATTATGTACTTTTTTTCTTTTCATGCTCTCATGAGTATGCAGTAGAGTTTTGGAGAGGCTACATGAGCTGTGAATTAAAGATACAGCTACAAGAAGATTGAGTTAACATCTCATCTGTAACAACTGTTACATTGCCTTACCAATGAATGAATCTACAGACACGGCTAGATTTGATATTTTGCTTGTATTGGTCTGTTATCAGAACCATTAATAATCAAACAGCTTAGACATGAATGCTTGGCTACAAACACAAGTGGTGCTAAAATACTCAGTGTGGAATAACTTTCTAATCTTATAGTTGATCCCTTAACAATTGGGTTGACTTATGCACAATGGTATAAAAACAATTTTAAATTTACATTTATGAAAATATAAACAATGTCACTCTTCTCACCATTTTTTCTGTTTTGGAAAATAAAGTTATTTTTAATAAAAACATGTTATTTGTTTTAACATGCAATGGGCTTACTATTATTTTTAAATGAATTTATCAATTAATGTAACAAATATTTTAAAACTCACCAGTTTTCATTTCTAATATGGTAAATGTTGACAGATAAACATAAACAAAAAACTCTTTGGGGTTATCAATAGTTTTTAAAAGAGCAAAGGATTCCCAAGACCAAAAAAGTTTGAGAACTGCTGAGCTAGATAACCTCTAAGGTCTCTTCCAGGTTTAAACTATTATCCTAAAAGTAAGAGATCATAAAGAAAGCAAAATGGGCTTCTCCAAACTATGTTCTCTGGAATATAAGCAAGCTTACTAATTTAGCTGCATCAGAATCTGAGAACCCTTAGCCTGTTTTAACTTTACTATGAAATAATAGACACCCAAGAACCAAACTACATCTCTCTTTCAAGTTTAGCAATTTTAAAAATAAGGTTGGAGTATGCCCAGCAGGGTTTTACTAATAACTTCCTTGTCTGTGGCAATGGTGTGAGTGAGCGCAAGCAAAGAGGAGCCATCATACCAGATGACACTCGGCTGTAGTTTTCACAAATGGTGATGGGTAGAAACAAAGATGGTGTGATGCATGTAGGACACAAGGGTCCCGTGTCTGGGTGTTACTCACAGGCATTATCTTGTTGCTTTGTGTTCTTAATGTATGCAGAAAACTTGGAGAAGATGTCAATCCCAGCTGTGTTGGATTCCCTGTGTTTAGCAGCCAGTTTGGGGTACCTGGAATGAAGAGGATGGGACCGTAAATGGTGGTTTCTGATGAAAGGAAGGAGACACAATTATCAGAATCAATGTTGTTCAGCACTTTGGACCAGCATATTGCTTTAAAATTGTTTTTCTATTCCCAAACTGGATTTGTAATAGATGAGATGATGGGGCTAGCCATAGCTGAGAGACGGCGGTACAAAGAGATTTGTCCAGGGTGAAATGGCAGATTGTGGTGAAACTGGTATCTGAACTCATGGTTTGTAGCCTGAGTAGGAGCTGATGATGGTAGAATTTTTATTCCAAGGGGAAAAAAAATTTACAAAGTAGCCCATTAGAGTTATTTCTTAGAAACCTAGGATGTCAAAGCCAGAGGGGACTCGGAAAACAAAATGTAAAATCACAGCATAGAATGTCAGAGCTAGAAAAGAATTTAAAATATAGAATGTTGGAGCAAAGGATGTAGAAGGTCAGAACTGGATAAGACTTTAGAAGCCTGATGTTGGAGAGGAGGAAACTGAGAGCCAGGGAAGAAAAGATGATAAACCTTTTTATCTCTCCTCCTCCAGCCTTCCTCAGTGTCTATTTCCCCTACCTCCTGAGTTGGAAGCTTCGCCTCAATACTTCATTGAAAACAATTGAGGCCATTGGCCAATGATTGCTTCTTTTCCACTTCCCCTTATCTCACATCATTCAGATGTTTTTCCCCTTCATTTCCACCCCAGTCTCACATGAAGACCTGTGGATCTCCACCTTGCCAAAGCAAAACACTCTCCATGGACCCTTGGATCCCTTTCCATTCTGTCTTCTCCAACAGATCATTCTTTTTATCAGCCCCACTCTCTCATTCATCTTCAGTGTCTCCCTATCTACTGGCTGCTTCCTTGCTTCCTACAAACATGCCCATGGCCCATAAGTCATTTTATTTTCCAGTTATGTCTGACTCTTCATGACCCCACTTGGGATTTTCTTGACAAAGATACTGGAGTGTTTTGCCATTTCCTTCTCCAGCTCATTTTACAGATGAGGAAATTGAGGCAAACAGGATTAAATGACTTGCCCGGGATCACACAGCTAGCAAGTGTCTAAGACCAGATTTGAACTCAGAAGATGAATCTTTCTTGACTCCAAACTCTATCCGCTGCAGCACCACCTAGCTGTCCTCTCCTTTTAGTAACCTAACTCCTTTGGTAACTAAGCCACCTTCACTAAATGTCTCTATTTCCTCTTCCCCCACTCTTCTAAACCCTCTTCAGGCTAGCTTCCAACCTCATCATTTGACTAAAATTACTGTCTCCAAAGCTACCAGTCATCTCTTAACTGCAAAACCCAATGGTCTTTTCTCAGTCCTTAACCTTATTAGCCTCTCTGCAGCCTTTGACATCATCAATCACCATTTTCTCCTGGATACTCTCTCCTCTCCAGGTTTTCATGGCATCATCCTTTCCTAGTTTTCTTCCTTCCTGCCTGACCACTCCTCAGTATCCTTGGCTTCCTCCAGGTCATGCTCACCAACCATAGGTCTCTGCCAAGGGTTTGCCCTGAGCCTTCTCTTCTCCTTCTATACTATTTCATTTGGTAATCTCATCAGCCCCCATGATTCACCTATCATCCATTACACAAGATAATTTTTAGATCTACTCATCCAGGCCTAACCTCTCTCCTGACTCTTATTACTGTCTGCCTCTCAGACATCATGAACTGGAGTAAAAATTTCAAACTCAACATGTTGAAAACTCATTATCCTCTCTCTCACCCTTCAAACTCTCCTCTTTTCTGAACTTCCTTACTACCTTCAAGGATACTACCATCCTCCCATCACATAGGCCTACAACCTCATATTCATCTTGACTCCAACTATTGTCAGGTGCTATATAATTTCTACATTCACAATCTCCTTTAGACATCTCCTCATCTTCATTTACATAGCCACCACCCTGGTGGAGATCCTCAACACGTCATGCCTGGACTATTGCAGTAGACTTATAGTCAATAATTCTTTCTCCATTTATGCTATATATGTATGTATGCATGCACACATATATACATATACATACACATATATATATACATATATGTGTATATACACCTCGAGTGTACATAGTCATTTGCATGATGTGTTCTCCTCCCTTCCATTTTATTATGAGCTTCTTGGGAGCAGGAACTGTGTTTTTTCATTTCTTTGTATCTCCAATGCTTAGCATAGTGAAATGCACACATATGCCACCCTTCATGGGCAGGTAGATGATGCAACAGATAGAGTGCTGGGCCTAGAGTCAGGAAGACCCGAGTTCAAATCCAACCTCAGACACTTACTAGCTGGGTGACCCTGGGCAAGTCACTTAAGCCTATTTGCCTCAGTTTCCTCATCTGTCAAGTGAGCGGGAGAGGGAAATGGCAAACCACTCTACTGTCTTTGCCAAGAAAACCCCATATGAGGTCATTAAGAGTTGGTCATGCCTGAAAATGACTGAATAGAAACAATAAAAGGCACTTCATGTAAGCCTGTTCACTGGCTGATGGACTGGAGATTGACACAGCCTTTCACTTGATCCATACCTAAAAGCTACCCACCTCGGTACACTTCACCAAAACACTTGCTCCAGGGTCATGGTCTTTAAGAACTGAGGGTACAAGGCAGCTAGGTGGTACAGTGAATACAACACTGGCCCTGGACTCAAGAGAACCCGAGTTCAAATCCGGCCTCAGACACATAACGTTTACTAGCTGTGTGACCCTGGGCAAGTCACTTTAACCCCACTGCCTAGCCAAAAAAGAGAAAAAAACAACCCAGGGTTGCCCCCCTGCACTACCGAAGTATTAGTATGGGACTCTAATAGAATATTAGTATTACTGCTGTTGTGGTAGTCACTACATTTACTCATTTTTACATATTTGTTGAAATCACCCTCTTTATCTCCCAAGCTATGCTTACACCACTTATTTACTGAAAACAGTTCCTCAGCCCCATCTCTGGGTGGGATTTAAAATCCCTACAATGAGGAAGGACCAGAACCATAAAGCAGGAAGATCTAGTCCTCAGGCACTTGGAGCAAAGTGACCAGCTGGATTCAGTAAAAGATGTCCTCAGCTCTGCAGGGCTGGACAGCTGAGTGTTAGTTACCTTAGGTTCTATGTGTGTTGCTGCTCACTTCTCAGTTTGTCTTCTCTATCTTGTAATGAACAGAGCACTGTATTTAATGTTAGGATATCTGAATCTGAATCCTGCTTAAGACGCTTACTAGCTGTGTGACCTGGAGAAGTCACTTCACCACTGTTTGCCTCAGTTCCCTCATCTGTAAAGTGGGGATAATAGCCCCTACCTCTCAAGGTTGTCTTGAGGATCAAATGAGATAATAATTGTAAAGCATGGTATTTGTCATATAGCAAGCAGAACATAAATGTCAGCTATTCTTTGTATTTTCTCACTTTGCAAATTTTATTTTAATGTATCATTTATTTTTAGCACTTTTAAAAAAAATTTTGAATTCCAAATTATTTCTCTCCTTTGGCTCCTCCCCCACCCACTGAGAAGGTAAACAATATGAAATCAACTCTACAGGTGAAATCATGTTCCCATGTTAGCCATGTTGTTAAAAAAAAAAAAGAAATAGAGAGAAAGTGAAAAAATTATACTTCAATTTGTGCTCAAGACTCAGTTCTCTCTCTGGAGGCAGATATCATTTTTTTATCATGAGTCTTTTGGAATTGTCTTGGATCATTGTCTTGATCAGATTAGCCAAGTCTTTCATAGTTGGTCACTGTTACAATATTGCTGTTACTGTGCACAATGATCTCTTGGTTCTGCTCACCTCACTCTGCATCAATTCATATAGGTCTTCCCAGGTTTTTCTGAAATCATCACCCTTGTCATTTCTTAAAGCACAATAGCATTCCGTCAAAATCACATACACAACTTGATCAGTCATTTCCCAATTGACGGACATCCCTTCAGTTTTCAGTTCTTTGCTACCACAAAAATAGTTGCTATAAACTTTTTTTTATATACAGATCCTTTTCATTTTCCTTTGATCTCTTTGGGACACAGACCTACTAGTAGTATTGCTGGGCCAAAGAATATGCACAGTTTTACAGCCCTCTTTGGGCATAATTCCAAATTATTCTCCAGAATGGTTGGACGAGCTCCCAATTAAACCAACAGTGCATGAGTGTCCCTATTTTTCCACATCCCCTCCAGCACTTGTCATTTTCCTTTTCTTTCATGTTAATTAGTTTGATAGGTATGAAGTGGTACTTCAGAGCAATTTCAATTTGCATTTCTCTAATAAAAATTTTTTCCCAATGTCGTCCTTTTCTACTAATTTTGGCTTCATGAGTTTTGTTGTACAGAAACTTTTTAACTAAATGTAATCAAAATTATCCATTATATTTCTCATGATGCTCTCCAATTATTATTAGTATATATGCCACTTAGTATCTTTTCATATGTATTTGGCTTATCTTCTATTTAATTGACTAGATTGCAAACTCCTCAAAAGCAGGGATATCTTATGCACCTATGTAGTCTCCAAAAGCACCTAGCACAATGATCAATAATATTTTTTTGATTGATGCAAGCTGATATTTTAAAGTTTAAAAAAAAAACCCTTCCTTGGAAATTAGAGTCACTAATAGTTAACCTGGCTGGTGGTTTTTCACTAACGTAAGTTGTACCCAGATAAGAAAATTGTAAAATATACAAAATAATTGTGGGCGTGGGGGAGGGTGTGGAAGTCTGGAGAGGACTAACAGTCATGGGAGTCAGTCAGAAAAGAATTCCTGTAGGCAGCTGAAGTGAGCCTTAGAAGGAATGAAGAATTATAAGAGGTGGAGGAGGGAAGGGAGAACATTCCAGGTATGGGGGATAGCATGGACAAAGACACAGAGAACAGAAATTGAATGTTATGTATGGAGGGGAGCATTTAACGAACATCAATTAATTGGAGACTACCCCTAGTGACCACCTGTCTCTGAAAATACATGCAAGCAGCAAGCCCCCACAACTGGATCCCTCTCCCAAAGGTATAAGAAAAAGACAGTTCTCTCCTGAGCCTCTGATCAGAGCCCTTGACCTCAGGTAAGGAACACAAAATTCATATAAAGACCTAGGCAGTACAGGAAATTCCTAGGCAGCTGTGATTTAAAGAGGTCCTCGGTGCCACATCTTAGAGTGATTTTTATGTCTACCATAACATTTCAACTAATTCTCCTCAAATGCTAGCAAGAGGAGCTTTGGACTGGTTGGCTTACTATACTGATCTGGATCTAAAATTTCCTTTCAATACAAGACTTACCCCTTAAAATGAGATTTCTCTTAAAAAATATGAATGAAAAAATTAATGAAAATTCTGAACAAAATATTTATTATGAAAAATTGTAAAAGACTTTTTCATTCAAATAAAAATATCTTAGGTATATTTTTATTATCAACTGCTTTCTTCATTTCTATCCTTTTCATTGTTTTCTTACTAACAACACAATTTTAGGATACACTTACATTTAGCACAAGGTAGATAATAGGAAAAAATTTGTAACTTATACTAAAGAGCAGTTCAGGATATCCTATAATATGGAGAGGGCAAATGGTCTGGTGGAAAGAATATGCAATTTGGAGTTAAAGAATTTAGACTCATATCTCAACTCTATCACTTATTACCCACGTTGACCTAGAGCAAGTCACTTAGCCAATGTGGGGTCCAGGATTCTCATCTCTACAATAAGGAAGATGCCCGCTCTGGTGGGCCTCAAAAGTCCCTTCCAGTTCTAAATCCTATGTATGGCACAACTTTCTAAGATGGTCGGACGCATCAAAAATGGTACTTTTGGGCTCTTACAGTCCTGTCAACCAATCACACTGTGACAGGAAGACAGAGTCATGGACAATTCAAGTGATAACCTCTTTGAGCTGAGGGATCACAGTGCCTGCCACCAGTCTCTCTATCAACGAGTGAATGAACAGGAACTACCCTGCAATGTTATACTGACAGGGAAAGCCTTCCTGCCAGTAGACAGGCATGCCTTGGTGGTACTGAGTGCCAACAGATGTGTCTATGTGCAGACATGGTGATCACGTCATTGGACATACTGAGTGTGCAGGTATGACTTAAGGCTTAGGATGAAAAATTTCGAGGTTAAAAAGTACCTCATGAGAGCATGGGGTCATAGATACAGAGCTTAGAACCTCAGAATCCATCTAGTTCAATCCTCTCATTTACAGATGAGGGAACTGAAGTCTGGAGAGGTTAATGACTTGCCCTAGGTCACACAGTTAAAAGTGATAGCTGGGATTTAAACCCAGGTCATCTAAGCTCCAAATCTGGAACAAAATCTTTACACTGTACCATGCCACTCTCTGGCTCCTTGGCACCTGTGTTTATGTCTTTCCACTCTAAAACTCATGTATTCTTAGCTAATGTATAGTGAGAGACCTAAGCATAGATAGATGTGTTTATACACTCACTCATCCTCTGCCTCTCTCTTTTACATACACACACACACACACACACACACACACACACACACACACACACAGAATGTATGACACTTTCACTTGCCTGCTATATTAGCAAACTCTGTAAAAGGTTTTACCACACTTTGTGCATGAGTGTGTGTATGTCTGTGTGTATGTGCATTAGGGTGCGGTGTATGTGCTGTGCCCACTGATAAAATGTAAGCTCTTTGAGGACAAGTAAGCACAGTGCCTGGCATAATAACAAGTACTTAATAAATGTTTCTTAATTGGTTGATTGACATAAGATAAAGAGTCCTGTGATACTTTGTAGATGCAGGCTTAGGATTGAGCACCAACTGTTAAATTTTCAGTGTCAGCATTTACAACTAGGAAATTAATAATAATAACAGCTAATATATTTATATAGCCCTTATTATGTGCCAGGCACTATGCTAATTGCTTTACAATTATTATCTCATCTGACCCATTTTACAGAGAAGAAAACCAAGGCAAATAGAGATTAAGTGACTTACCCAGGGCTGCATAGCTCAGTGTGTCTGAGGCCAGATCTGAACTCAGATTTCTATGATTCTAGGCCTGAGGGTTGATCTATTGTTTTGGTGAGCATCTAGCCTTGAGAAAGTGTTGGCAGAAAATATTAACAATGTTGATTAAATTTCAAAGTGTTTCATAGATACATTTTAGGGGGGGAATAGAGCCAGTTGTTAAATATTTACCAGCACACCCTGGGCAGGTCCCCATATATTTCTTTCTGTTGTGGACATCTGCAAAGCTAACCAAAGGCCAAGCAAGTCCTCTTTTTAGCCCCTCAACCAAATGTGATGTCCAAAAGACCCAAAGAGTAAATCTTGAAGTGAAAAATGAAGACAAGAGCTCAGAAATAGAGCACCCTCACGTATGAAATCACAGACACCCAGCCTGTCTTGCTCGGAGCTGCTGGAGGGAACACAGCGTTTCTGTTGCACCAAGCTAGAGGCCGAGAAGGGCTGAGCACCCTACTTCCCTTAATAAAACTCAACACAAAACTTATTGTCCAGGCCCTGTAAATTAGGCTTTCAGCGCCTCCTCCCCCTCCAAACAGGGCATGAAGAGGGGAAGAAGGAAAAGGAGGGAAGAAGATTCAACTCACACAGGAAGGATGGACTGGTCTGAATCTGTGGCACTCCCACCTATAAATATCTTCAACAAGAGGAATAGGTTCAATAGGATAGGTTAACCCTATCATTTTAGAGAGGCGAGACAATTTCATTGCACAGCCAAAATTCAATCTCAACTCCTGTCTCCAAATCTAGTGCTCTTTCTACTATACCCAAGCATGTGTTGGAGCCAACTTGAACTGGCTCAAAAGAGTCAATTATTAAATTTTCAGTGTGAGCATTTACAACTTGAAAAATCAACAAATGCCATAAATGAGCACTTGATTTGTTTTTTTGTCGATAAGAAAATGATGAGGGAAATGTTAACAATGCATTTTGTTATTATTCAATCATGTCCCACTCTTTGTGACCCCACTTGGGGTTTTCTTGGCAAAGAAACTGGAGTGGTTTGCCATTTACTTTTCCAACTTATTTTACAGATGAGGAAACTGAGGCAAACAGAGTTAAGTGACTTGCCTAGGGTCACCTAGCTAGTAAGTGTCTGAGGCCGGATTTGAGTTCAGAAGATGAGTTTTCCTGACTTCAGACCAGCACTCTATCCACTGCACCACCTAGCTGCCCCTAATAATGCATATTAAACTTGAAAGTTATATACTTATGTACATTATGCTATGTTTACATTTTTTGAAAGCTGTTTGTTAAACATTACCAGTATACCACAGATGGTGTATTTCACCATTAATAGTGAAGCAAGTAAAACTGTGTGGCTGCTGAAGTCTCTCTGCCTCCAGATGCCCCTTTCTGTACCCTTTTCTTCCTTCCTTGGCACCCTTTTCTATAACCTTCAGCTGACCTGTACCCCTCAGTAGTCTTCTTATCCATCAGCCTGATCCATCAAAACCTGTTCTGATAGCTATCATTTTCTTTATTTATGGAACACGCTGGTGGAGGTGCAGAAGGTAGCAAAGGAGGAGACCTGTGATTTCACTGGTATGGGAAAACTCCCTCTAGCAATGCAATTCTGAATGCAAATGAAATTCTGCTTATAATTATGAGAGTTTCCTCGAGGCAATGATAGGTTGAGTAACTTATACCGATTAATGTAGTCAGGCCAAATTTGAACCCAGGTCTTCCTGACTGAGTCTAATTTTCTAATCACTATGCAATGCTGCCTTTTTTTTAAAGCTCTTAACATATTTTCACATTTCATTTGATCCTTTAAAATGACCCTCTGAGATAGTATAGGCACTTTATAGATGAGGAAACTGAGGTTTTCAAAGAAGCTAAGCAAAGGGATCAGTATCAGAGCTGGGACCTGAAACCCTCATTGAAGGTCAGGGCTCTTTCCACTTTCCACAAGAACTAGATGATGTCTAAGGGCCCTTCTGATTCTGAGTCCATATTTCAAACTACATGATTCTATGGTTTATACATCATTGTGAATTGAAATGAATAATTAACTGCCAGAAGTATCACAGATTTAGAGTTAGAAGCAACTGATGAGACCATTGAGTCGAGTGTCCTTTTACAAATGAGGCCACTGAGGCAGAGAGAAGTTGAGTGAATTGCTCAGCTAAGAAATGTCTGAGGTAGAATTTAACCTAGGCCTTATTATTTCAAGTCTAGGGCTCTATCCATGATGACACATTATGAGTATTTGTATGTCAAACTTTTTAATCTCTAGGTGTGGTCTGAAAGAATTTGTTCCCCATTAATGGAATTTTGGTATCAAAAGTGGATGAGGTAGGTAGGTCCCCTACTCCCCCTTAAGTGGAAGGCTCACCTTGTCAAGGAGGGATATTTGTTCCATGAACCTCCTCTGTGTCTGAGTCTTTTTGGCAACAGACAGACCTCTCTATAAAATTTAAGGGTTCTCTCTGAGAAGAGAGATCCCATTCATTGTAGTCTTTTGACCTAACCAAACTTGATAAACACCCATTTGCAAAGCAGACACGTAACAATGAACATTTTTCTGATCCCAGTATAGATACCTGGTTTCTCCCCAGCCCCACAATTTCATAAACCCCAGAAAATAAATACCCCCTTACTTTTGCGGGGTCAAGGTCTCCTCCAAGAACTCTTCAATCTTGTTGACGTCTGTCTTAACATCCCCGTTGAATGTCAGAAATGGTGGATGGGTCCCAGGGGCCAGGTTATGCAGATCAGCAGGCTTTCTACAAAGAAAGTGAAAAGTAGGTTTTGGTTCATACTACTCTACTTACTCTTTCAGAAAAATACCAAACTCTATAATAGAGATCAGCTTCACTGACTGCCAAGCATGTTGGATGAATTTCCCATTTCAAACTTTTGGGAGGATGTGGACAAGAGTCACATAGGATTAGCAGGCATGTATGATTTGGGATCTGTATCACTGGAGGGACCTCCTGAATCAATAAAATTCCAAATCTATTTGAATCTAATACCTACTGTCCTTTTGAAAAGGCAAATTTGACCCTTCATGGGGCAGCTAGGTGGCACAGTGGATAGAGCAATGGCCCTGGATTCAGGAGGACCTGAGTTCAAATCCGACCTCAGACACATAACACTCACTAGCTGTGTGACCCTGGGCAAGTTGCTTAACCCCATTGCCTAGCCAAAAACAAAAAACCAAAAGAACAAAAAAACAAACAAAAAAAATTTGACCTTTCAGTAAAGGCAAATTGTACGTGAAAAAGGAGGGAAAAAAGTATAAAAAAGAACAAGAGGAGGCTTAATATCATAAGAGAGAAGGCAATGTGGTATATAGTGGGCAATGGATAGAGCTGAGAGATAGGACACTTGGATTCTAGCCAGCGGTCGGCTACACTATTACCCTGAGCAAATTACTCTTCCTCTCTGAACTTTAATAAAAATCAATAAAATAAAAAATAATTCCTAAGTTCTCTGTTAGTCCTAAACACACTCTGGTTCCATAGCCTACATCCTGAATGTTACTGAGAGATAGGTAGGATAGAAAGCCCGTAAGTTGAGTCCTACCTGAAAAAAATGGGCAAGGGCAATCCATAAATAGGTAATTAGCTATAACCTTAGCTTAGTTACACCAACAGCTTATACATAACCATACATATGGTGTTATATACGTATATATAAACCATATATACCTTCTTTTGCTCTTAACATGTTCTTTTGGAAATTAGCATGGTTTGACAGCACAGCTATCATTTGCATACCAGAAATACACTTTACAGGACTCTGAACATAAGAAATATATGAATTGTGCAAGAAATGCCTCCCCAAAGTGTAGTATCTCTCAGACAGAGAAAATTTAAGATCTTTCACTGCCATTTTGTCCAAGATGACGTGTTCTTACTATACAGCTAAACTCTGGTAACTTCTGGTCTCACAATGATAAGGCCCTTTCCAAACTCAACAACTTATTACTGTGATATGTTAACAATCCTTAATGAGAATACCAGGCATTGGAGACCATTAGATTGAGGGGAAAAAAAAAAAAAGATTGACAGAGGCATACTAGACATTAGTTCATAGACCACATGTCCCAGCAGACATTGAGGCAAAATTAATAGGCAAAGACAGGACATTTCAATCCATGTTATTATCTTTTCCCAGCCAGGGATTATATATTCAACTCACTTGGTGCTACTGGGTAGAGAGGTCTAAAAATGGCACAGTAAGTTAACAAAGACATTATTTTGGGGCTGTTAAAAGTTGTTTGAGGAATAGGTGAAGCTAAATATTTAATGACACCACAACTTCAAAGAAATAATATCTAATGTAACTAATCAGACTGTAAGAGTTCATGATGTTATACCATAATTTCATTTTTATTTTGTGACATACAGGACCATAGGATTTGTTGTTCGTCATCCTTTGTTCTCAAAGGCGACTGAAAACAACATGAGGATATGAGGGGGTCAGAGCTGCGCAAAGTCCTCAGCCTCATTCTCTCCTCCAGAGTCATCAGAGTCCAGTGGTAAGACAAAGGTCAAGAAGACTGGCGATGGCCCAGAATGCAGTGGGACCATAGGATTTAGAGTTAGAAGGGACCTTAGAGATGATCTTAACCAAATTCTTCGTTTTGTTGTGTTGTTTCAGTCATGCCCGACTTCTCTGTGACCCCTTTAGGGGTTTTCCTGGCAAAGACGTTGGAGTGGTTTCCCATTTTACACATGAGGAAACAGGGTTAAGTGACTTGCCCAGGATCACACAGCTAACAAATGTCAAAGGTAGCATTTGAATTCGGGTCGGCCTGATTTCAGGCCTGGCACTCTATCCACTGTGCCACCTAACTGCCCTTCCTTCACTGTACAAATGAGGAAATTTAGGCTTAGAGAAAAGGAGTGACTTTCCCAAGATCACACAATTAGCCAGTGACAGAGAGCCAGAACTAGGACTCAGGATCCTTTATTTCTCAGTCTAATGCCATTTTACCAGAAGTGAAGGATTTGTAGCTAGGTGGTGTGGTGCATGGGTCCTTTACCTGCTGTCTGCATTAAAATATGACCTCGACACTTACTAGCTGGGTGACCCTGAGAAAGTCACTTAGCTTTTTTGTCAGTCTCAGTATCCTCAGCTGTAAAATGGGAATACTAATAGCACTAATTCTTGTTGTGAAGATCAAATGAGATAATATTTGTAAAGCACTTTGCAAACCTTAAAGCACTATATAAATGCTAGTTAGTATTATAGTTATGGATATAGATGAGCCTTCATCGCAAAGAAAAGACATTTACATCAGTTTTGCTGCTGCAAAACTGGTCCATAAGGACCGTAGGACTTTTCAGACGAGCTGAAACTTTCCCTATGTGTCATCTCCCCCACTAGAACGAACTTCTTAAAAGCAAGAATTGCCTTACTTTTCTATTTGTACCCCTAATGCTTAGCATGGTGCTTTGTACATAGTAAGCACTTAATCAATGCATTATTCATTCATTCACCTCACATCAATTAAACAGAAGAAAGCAAGAAAGAAATTCTTCTATTGACTTAAATGCAAAGTACTTTTAATTGGGGCAGCTAGGTGGTACAGTGGATAGAGCTCTAGGCCTGCAGTTAGGAAGACCTGAGCTCAAATCTGTCCTTAGACACTTCTTAGCTGTGTTATCCTCTTAATCCCATTTGCTTCAGTTTCCTCATCTGTAAAATGAGCTGGAGGAGGAAAAGGCAAACCGTTCCAGTATCTTTGCCAAAAAAAAAAAAAGCCCATTGGGGTCACAAAGAGTCAGACACTACTAAAACAACCAAACAGCAACAAAAACAACAACTTTCAATCTATAGCAAATGTCAATATGACTGTATTAACTACACGTATACCATGATTAGTTAATGAAAGGCATGGTCAGTATAAAAGAAAAAAAAAAGACCTGTGATAGATGGGGGGAGTTTAGTGGCAATAAATGAGCACAATCGGCCTAGGCACGGTATGAGATGAAAAAGCAAGGAAGAAAAAGCATTAAACAAAGGAAGAATATTCACCTAAGGCAGGAGTTCTTAATCTGGGGACCAGGAAATTGTTTTTAAAAATATTTCTAGAACCGTTCTGCAATAGAATTAGGTTGTTTTTTTATTCTGAGAAGGGATTCATAGGCTTCACTAGATTGCCAAAGGATACATGACATTAAAAAAAGGCTGAGAACCCCTTCCCTAAGGGAAAGGGTAGGGTCAGAAAGGAGGGGAAATTCAACGTGAAGGACAGTCAGGTCAGATCCCTCTCCAAATATATCGTCTGAAAATGGGCTCTTTCTAGGAACCTTGGCAATGGTGGTAGTGGAAGGATTGTAAAAAATAAGGGAGTACTGGAACCAAGATTAACCTGAAGTCAATTAAAATTCTAGAGAAATCAATCTAGGGGTTGGGGGAGGGGGAGTGTTGGGAACAGAGGAGGAGGCAAGGAAGAATTTCAATTACATTGCTGTTCCCATACCATTCCTAAAACATACACACACACACTTAACCAGCTGTGCTTTGTGGCACACCTCCTGAAAGCATTTTAGAAATCTCATTTACTTAGTTTCTTTGTTTATTCTGCATGTGTTCCTCACTTCAGACAAATAAAGGACCTGTTTAGTTTCTCCTCCTTTTTTTGAGAGTTAACGATTTTAAGTCCGCAGTTCTTGGGTTCCCAGCAACCAAGATGAAACACTGATCTTATTTTTCAATAATTAGTATTTTCTGCCTTGAAGGCCAAGAGATTGGGATTTATAGGATGACTATAGAGAAGTTGTCCTTGTGTGGTTTTCAATTGTGCCCAACTCTTCATGACTCCATTTGGGGTTTTCTTGGCAGACACAGACTTTCAGGGATTCTTAACTTTTTTTGTATATGAATCATGGATCCCTTTGGCAGTCTGGTGAAGCTAGGGAACCCTCTTCAGAAGAATATTTTTAAATGCACAAAATACAATGTGTAAGATTACAAAGGAAAATAGATTAAATGAAAAATTTAAATAAATATTTGATTAAATAAAATTTTATCTGAATGAGAATTTAAATAAATTATAATTAAACATTATAAATTAAAATTAATTAAATAAGTTTAATTAAAATTAAATAGAATATTAAAAATATTTTAAAGTTATCAAAATATTGAGAAAAAAGTTCAAAGATCCTACCCATCTGTTAGGTTGCTGCTTGAGGTATGGAGAGGTTACTTGCTCAAATAGCTGTTAAGTATCAGAGGTGGGATTTGTACTCAAGTCTTTTGGGTTCCAAGATCAGCACTCAATCAATGCTTCTCACTATGCAATTCGATGCTCACTTATGCACTGTTATATATCATTTGCTAATTGCTTCATACATATCAGTTCTATCATCATAGCTAGACTTTATTTTTGTTTCTTCTGTACCTCCCATGTTGTCGTTCAGTTGTTTCAGTTGTGTCCAACTCTTCATGGCCCCATTTGGGGTTTTCTTGGCAAAGGTACTGGAGCTGTTTGCCACTTCCTTCTCCAGCTCATTTTTCAGATGAGGAAACTGAGGCAAACAGGGTTAAGTGACTTACCCAGGGTCACATAGCTAAGAAGTGTCTGAGGCCAGATTTGAACTCATGAAGATGAGTCTTCCTGACTCCAGGCCTGGTACTCTATCCACTTCACCACCCAGCTGCCCTGAGGCTAGAGAAGGAAATAGCGAACCACTCTAGTATCTCTGCCAAGAAAACCCCAAATGGGGTTACAAAGAGTGGGACAGAACTGAAAAATGACTGAATAACCGACAGCACCTACCTCCTAGAGTTGCTGTCAAGATCAAATGGAATAGGGGCAGCTATGTGGCACAGTGGATAGAGCACCGGCCCTGAAGTCAGGAGGACCTGAGTTCAAATCCGGCCTCAGACCGAACACTTGACACGTACTAGCTGTGTGACCCTGGGTAAGTCACTTAACCCCAATTGCCTTAAAAAAAAAAAGAATACACGAAAGATCAAATGGATAACGAGTATAAGGTGCTTTGCAAACCTTAAAGTGTTTTATATAAGAGCTAGTTGTTTATTATTATCATCATCATTATTCTGAGCCTTGAATTATGTGTAGGATTTGGATAAGCCAAAAAGAGAGCGGAGGGCATTCTAGGCAAGGGAAAAAGTATGTCATGGGGGTTAGCAAGGACAATGAGTAGGCCAGACTAACTGCTGGATTAGAGGGTTTATGTGGGGGAATATGAGGAGATTAGTTTGGTCAGATCCAGAATGTAGAAAGCCCCGAATGTCAGTCTACAGAGCCTGGTAATAGGGAGCCATTGAAGGTTTCTGAGCACAACAATGGAATGATGAAAGTGGCATTTTATGAGAATGACTTCTGTGGCAGCATACAGATAAACTGGAAGATGAGATTGAAAGCAGATTGGTCTTCTGCCTCCAATGGGGAAACTAACCTGGACTTGAGAAGTTAAGATCTTGGATCATAAGGCTCACAATGAAAATGGAAAGGAAAAGAAAAGATGGAGATGAGAAGTATTCTGAAGGAAGAATGGACAAGACTTGGTGATTAACTATAGAAATGTGCTTCAAAGGAAAAGCTAAAAAAAAAGACTTCCATCAAAAGATTGAGATGCTGCAAGACTTAAAAAAGACAAAAATACAGGTGAGTTAGTCAACAAATTTATTAAGAACTTACTACGTGCCAGACACTGTTCTAAGTAAGATGTGAGGATACAAAGAAAGACAAAATACAGCTTCTATGGATGTTTTTGCTTATTCAGGAAGTTTTCTTCTTTACTTTCCCCATTGTTAGACCAATTGTGAAGATGTATAATTACAATTTTATGGTGTAGGGGAATTTAGGGGTATGAAGGAGGAGACAGGGAGTTAGTGTATGGGGCAATGAATGGGATAGCTAGAAGACAAGCTAAGGGCTATGATAATGGCAGCAAGAAAGACAGTGGTTGAGATAGTGTTTGCAGCTAGCTGTCTTGGACGTGTGCATGGCCGGTAAGAGCCTTCAGTTTGGTGTGAAAGTAGGGAATAACAGATGTAAGCAAGTATGGTGGTCTACAGAGGTCTACATGGTCAGTCAAATCAAGTCAACCAGCTTTTGTAGACAATGTGCCAGTCTAAGCTCTAGTAACTGTGGAAAGGTGGTGTGTGTGCGTGCAAGCTCACACACGCACATGGGCATACAAAGGATAGGACTTGTGTCTTGGATTGTTAATCCACGCACACAAAGAGCAACAATACAGAGTAAGCAATGATGAGAGTTTCAAGGTTAGTCTGTCTAAACCTAGTATATCTGAATTATGCACCAAAGCTGAGATCACCTCTAGGCTCTTGTTTATGAAGGAGAGTCAGGAGGTATAGAGTAAAGGGTAGTTCAGTTTAAACAAAATTGAGCTTTATGTAATTGTGGAATATCCAAATGAAAAGTTCACTAAACAGATGGAAATTTGCAGTTAGGGATCAGGAAGGTGGTCAAGACATTGTACAGTTAAAATGACCAGACTTGTCTCCAAAGCTAAGATGAGAAAATTCTCCTCTCTTCATTGGAAAGGTGGGAGACCATGGATGTGAAATCCTATTTCTATTGGTATATCTATATCTATATCTATATCTATATCTATATCTATATCTATATCTATATCTATATCTATATCTATATCTATCTATCAAGCTCAGTTGATATTTGCTAGTTTTACTGAATTATTTTTTAAAGGGATGACCTGCTGGCTAGGGGAAGCAGAAGCGATAAATTTGGAAATCAAGATATATTCAACACTATATGTATGTGTGTGTGTATACATATATATATGTGTATATATATACATATATATACACACACATACACACACACATATATACACACATGTATATAAATGTATGTACACATGTATATATGTGTACATCTGTAGTATATACGTGTAGACATACACATATGTGTACATATACCTCTCATATATGCACACCTATATATACATACATATATATAGATCTCTATATATACACATATATATACCTATACATGCGTGTATATAGATATACCTTTACCTATACATATCTATATATACCTATACCTAGGTATGAGTGTGTATACACACATTCATGTATATGAATGAAAGTAGGGATGTTTAGACTGAAAGCAAAAAGAGATAAAAAGATCCTAGAAAAATGGATGAGCTCACTGAGAAAGGAAGTGTAGAAAGAAAGTCAGAGAGCTAAGGACTGAGCCTTGATTTATGACCTCACTTAAGAAGGCGAGTTAGAAAAGAGACAAAGGATTGGTCTATAGAAACAGCTTAATTTTCATCAAATCTGGTCTCCGTGCCTGAATGTCTTACAACCAATCATCAAAATGTATTTTTAAAATGACAGCAGTCACATCACAGAGAAATAAGGGGGACCAACACTTTTCTTTCCCTAAAAGCTAATAACCTGTAGGGAATTCCAAAGACATGAGAGAACAGCACGGTTCTCATAGCCCTGGAAATTCAAACACTCCAACCTACAATGTTCCTTGAGATGTCCCAGGCTAAGGGCATCCTCACTCTTGAGATGTGTGACTCTCCAAAGCTATTCTAGATATTGATGCATATTTCTGTTACCTTTTCAGGTCCACAGTAGTGACATTGAACACAACCCCTTTCAACCACAGGATCATGAAGAGACGCTGAGAGAATGGGCAGTTCCCAATGCTTTCGCCGTCTGATCCAGCCTAGGAGAAAAGAAAGCCAAAGCATTTCAATTCATTTCAATACAATGAACATTAATTAAGAAGTGCAGGCAGTCTTTTAGGTGCTGGGAATACAAAGACAAAAACAAAATCTTCCTTGTCCTCAAGGAACTAATAATCTATTGAGGGGTAGCAGGGAATATGTACATAAGGAAATAAATGCACAAAAATATATACAAAAGAAAAATATATATAAATATATATATATATATATATATATTTATATGTACATACATGCACATATACACACACAAAGGAATTTCAGGACAGAGAGAGAACAATGGGCATAGCTTCCAAAGGAGATGGCAGTTGAAATGAAAATTGTGAGACATCCCAGAAGCTAAGGTGAGGAGGAAGAATATTCCAGGCACGAGGGGACCCTCTTGACTAACTATGGAGGCAGGAGATGGAACATCCTGTATGGGAGAACAGCAAGGTTGCCAGATAGACCTTAAACTGGACCCTAAAGAATATTATATATGTTTCAATAGGCAGAAAGGACCATAAACTGGAACCTAAAAGATACTATTTGTATTTAGATAGGCAGAAAGGCAGATGGAAATATAGGGATTGAAACAGGAAAGCCTGAGCAATTGAGCAAAAGCTAGATCATAGCGTGTGTTAGGAACAGTAAACAAACAGGAACAACTGAAGAAAACCATTCTGATTGGGGAACGTAACCTCTTGCTCTCTCCCTAAATAAGAAATATTACTGAGTAGCTCCTTGTGTGCAGTAGACAGCATTGTCTACAATAGCATTGTCTTTTACATCTCACCTCAATTATTAGACTGGTAAGATTGAGGCATTTCAGGAAAAGAAAAAAATGAGACAATGTTTATACCACATTAAAAAAAATCAACCTTTTAATGGTAAGAAGGTTAGCTAATGATAATGAATTAATTATTTAGCTCCACCACAATGATATGTACCAGCAATACTAGCTAGTACTTATATAAGCCAATTGTTTTACATCTGTCACCTTATTTGGTCTTCACAAGCCTGGGAGATAGATGCTATGGTTATTCCCATTTTACAGATAAGAAAACTGAAGCTAAGGGAGGTTAAATGCCTAGTTACACATCTAGTAAGTATCTGAGGCATCACTTGAACTTGGGTCTTCCTGAGCTGAGGTTGAACACTGAAATCCCTGTGCCACCAACTAAGAAAAATAAAAAATGGCCTTCAAACCTCTGTGGTTTCCCCTTCTAATACCACAGTGAGAGTGAAAGCATGTTGGCTGTTCAGTCCACATTGGGCAAGAAGGAAAACTATATTTCAAAACCATATGACTAAAGAACACTTCATGGGCCCAGGTCCTAAGCTAGTCTGACTGCATGACAGTGGAAAGAAATGAGGAGATCTTAAGTCTAAGACCTTTACAAGATGACCTTCATCACTTACTATGGCATCTAGTACACATTAGACGCTACTCACATCTCTAGATCATTACATCATATACCCCCCTACAACACATTTTTGGTTTCTCCAGCTCCCTATTTAGCTCATCCACTTGTCATCTAAATTGTGTTTTAACACCCCCCACACACACACAGCATCAAAGTTTAAAGATTATAGAGCTAGAGCTCTAGCTATAAGGGACAGTAGGGGTCATTGAGTACAGCCCCTTCATTTTACAGATGAGGAAACTGAGGCTGACAGAAGTCAAGTGACTTGTCCAGGGTGATATAGCTAGTTAGCTATCAGAGGCAGAATTTGAACCCATGACATCCTGATTATAACTCCAGTTGCATTAGAATTTTTGACATGTGACCTTTAAAAAAACAAAACTATACAGACCCTTTAGGGCCATATAACTCATGTATTGATAGAAGTGACTATGATAAATGCTTAGGTAAAGAGTTTTATATGAGATGTGAGAAACAAGATAATTTCCAACATGAAGAAGACTTTGTCAAAGAAGTAGCAGTTCAGCTGGGTCTTAAAGGATGGGACAGATGTATGATTGATTCATCTTAATCAAAAATCCACATTGGCCCCTAACAACTTTGTAATGTAAAATCAGTATGTTAATATTTAGGGCAGCTAAGTATCGCAGTAGATAGAATGATGAACCTTGAGTCAGGAAGTTCTGAGTTCAAATCCAGCCTCAGACATTTACTAGCTTTGTGACCCTGGACAAATTACTTAATTTCTAACTGCCTCAGTTTCCACATCTGTAAAATGAGGATAATAATAGCACCTACTTCCCAGGGTTGTGGGGATAAAATGAGGTAATATTTGTAAAATGCTTTACAACGCTAACTATTAAGATTAGTAGTAGTACTGGAGGTTTTCTTCAGTGAGACTTGACTATAAGATATTGAGATATGAAGACACTACTCTTGCCATGTGGCTTCTGTTGGTAACATCTTGTCAAAATTAGAGGTCCTGTAATGTCACATTGAGAGGTCCTGTAATGGTCAAGAAAGATTTTCACTGTAATCAGCAACATTAGGCTTAAAAAGCTCATGGAAAGCCAGCAGAATAATCCCGGACTTTACTCAAAGACAAAAGAAATGTGTGTGTATAAATGCAGAAGGTGTCTGATCTGGGTGTATAATTTTTTTTCCTTTTTTGTTATTGTTATTTTAGGCAATGGGGTTAAGTGACTTGCCCAGGGTCACACAGCTAGTAAGTGTTACGTGTTTGAGGCCAGATTTGAACTCAGGTCCTCCTGAATCCAGGGCCAGTGCTCTATCCACTGCACCAGCTAGCTGCCCCATGGGTGCATAAATTTTTAAAAAAACATTTTTTTTCAAAAGGAAAAAGAAAAAAATAATCTAAGAAAGATAAAAGATCAACATGTTTTCTATCATGTTAAAGTGGGATATTGTTGTGCTCAAGAAGTGGCATGAAAGGAAACAAAGAAATATGGGAATAGAGAAGGATCTGGGCAAACCATGTTGTAGGAGGGGAAGTGCTTGGACTGCTCTAGTATGCACTTAACTTTAAAGATATGGAAGAAGAAGGCACCCAGCACATTGGGAGGCTAGACACCAAAGCTACAAAGAGAAGTGGAAAAAACAGCCCTTGCCTTCAAGGAGCTTACATTCATCATCCCTCTCGCTCTCACTATTATATGGATAGATGTTGTCCTTCACTCTTTTTCAGTCATGTCCGACTCTTGTGGATCGCCATTTCCTTCTCTAGCTCATTTTACAGATGAGGAACTGAGGCAAACAGGATTAAGTGACTTGCCCAGGGTCACCCAGCTAGTGAGTGTCTGAGGCCAGATCTGACACCAGGTCTTCCTGACTCTGGTTCTGGCGCTCTACCCACTGAGCCAGCTAGCTGCCCTAGACATAGAGATAGAATCACTTGGCCACACTACAATGATATGCACCACCAATATGAGCTAGTACTTGTACAAGCTTTTTCAGGTTTGCAAATCATATGTATATACACACAAAGAGAGAAACAGGGGCAGACAGAGACAGGCAGAGGCAGAGAGAGAGAATGAAGAGACAGAGACAGGCAGAGACAGAGAGAGAATGAAGAGACAGAGACAGCCAGAGACAGAGAAAAGGGGAAAGGAGGATGGAGAGGGAAGGAGAGAGATATCAGGGATTTATTTATAAGAGGAAATAGTCAAGAGTTGCCCAGGATGAGAACTGGATAGGATGCACAGTTGGAAGGAATGTATCCAAATTACATGGCCATTTTTCTCCTAACAATTAAATACTCACCTAGATTTAAGAGTTACTGTGGAAAACTCAGACCTGTTCCAGGGTTGGACAGAAGTAATGGCTGTGAAATTACAGGCACTATAACTCAGTCCTAACAAAACCAAGCAACCCCATCACTTCTTCCTTTCTCACTTTGTTCAAGTGTTGGAAACGGACCTGCCCCTGAGTAGCTAACTGTGAATGGGCTCTATTATAACTGTGAGGACAAAATGATTGGGCATTCTATGTCACCTACAGAGCTATAATTACTGACATTTCCTCATTCTGCAGAGCTTGCTCAAGCCAGACCACTGTTAATTTTAATAACACCTTGGCCCATGGAATAGCTGCTAACTTAAAAGTGAGTTCATCATGTGTCTTCACAAAGATCACTGCAAAAAGCCATGGCCAGATGGGAGGGTGGGAAGAAGTGCTGTGCTGATATAGCTAGCGCCTGGTACATAGAAGGTAACTAATAAATGCTTATGTGCCAGGCACTGTGCTAAATCCTTTACAAATATTATCCCATTTCATCCTCACACAATCCTGGTATTATTGTCCTCATTTTACAGATGAGGAAACTGAAACGGACAGCAGTTAAGTGACTTGCCCTAAAGGTCACACAGCTAGTAAGTATGTGAGGCTAGATTTGAACTCAGGTCTTCCTGATTTCAGGCCCAGTTCTGTATCCACTGAGCCCACCTAACTGCCTCCTTAGTCATTTAAAGCCGTCTTCGTCATGAAGCCTCTCAGCTGTTAGTGTTTCCTCCTAGCCCAAAGTACTTTTTATTTACTCTGTATTTATGTTGTGTTTCCTTATATGGATACATGTTGCTTTCTCCAAGAGGATTTTCCAGCAGGCAGTCTCTATCTTTTTTTTAATCTATTATGTGCCTGGAATTAGTAGGCACTTATTAAATGCTAGTTGATGGATAGATTGACTGATTTAAAATAGTTTGACAAAACTCTTACCCAGTGTTAGGGACAATTTAATTTCAGTGAAGTTTGAACCATTTTTTCCTGTTTTAAATTTATTTTGTTAGTGGGTTTCTTTTAGTGGAGGGAAGAGCCTGATAGAAAAAAAGGAAATTACTGAAAATTTAAAGTTGGAAGGGAGCCTTAGGTTTTGTCTAATCCAAGACTTAAATTTTATGGATGAGGAAACTGAGGATTACTAAGAGGCAAATTAATGTGTGTAAGGTCAAAAGTAATATTAGTCAGAACTAGAAACCAGGACTCCTGACCCTCCAGTCCAATGCTTCTTCATTGTCTTGTTTCCAAAACCTATCATTCTTCCATTCTATTTCACCCTCATC